CAGAAAAAATGTCATGTAACTCCCGAACGGGAAGAGATACGAAAGTGCGGTTTGAATTTTTGGAATCAGCGCGGTCGAATTAGTTGAGAAAAGTTGTTTTTGCAACTTTTTTTTTCAACTTTTTCAGAAAAAATGTCATGTAACTCCCGAACGGGAAGAGATACGAAAGTGCGGTTTGAATTTTTGGAATCAGCGCGGTCGAATTAGTTGAGAAAAGTTGTTTTTGCAACTTTTTTTTTCAACTTTTTCAGAAAAAATGTCATGTAACTTCCGAACGGGAAGAGATACGAAAGTGCGGTTTGAATTTTTGGAATCAGCGCGGTCGAATTAGTTAGGAAAAGTTGTTTTTGCAACTTTTTTTTTCAACTTTTTCAGAAAAAATGTCATAAGGGGGGACCCTTTTGACAAAAATATCGCGATTTTCGAGTGTAACTTCCGAACGCGAAGAGATACGAAAGCGCGGTTTGAATTTTTGGAATCAGCGTGGTCGAATTAGTTAGGAAAAATTGTTTTTGCAACTTTTTTTTTCAACTTTTTCAGAAAAAATCTCATGTAACTCCCGAACGGGAAGAGATACGAAAGCGCGGTTTGAATTTTTGGAATCAGCGCGGTCGAATTAGTCAGGAAAAATTGTTTTTGCAACTTTTTTTTTCAACTTTTTCAGAAAAAATCTCATAAGGGGGGACCCTTTTGACAAAAATATCGCGATTTTCGAGTGTAACTTCCGAACGCGAAGAGATACGAAAGCGCGGTTTGATTTTTTGGAATCAGCGTGGTCGAATTAGTCAGGAAAAAGTATTTTTGCAACTTTTTTTTTCAACTTTTTCAGAAAAAATCTCATGTAACTCCCGAACGGGAAGAGATACGAAAGCGCGGTTTGAATTTTTGGAATCAGCGCGGTCGAATTAGTTGAGAAAAGTTGTTTTTGCAACTTTTTTTTTCAACTTTTTCAGAAAAAATGTCATGTAACTCCCGAACGGGAAGAGATACGAAAGTGCGGTTTGAATTTTTGGAATCAGCGCGGTCGAATTAGTTAGGAAAAGTTGTTTTTGCAACTTTTTTTTTCAACTTTTTCAGAAAAAATCTCATAAGGGGAGAAAAATATCAGTAAAGATAGCATGTTAACTCACCGACTGAGGAACGCTGGTGTCCTCGATCCCTACGTCCTTGATCATCTTGGCGGCCAAGTCCGCGCTCTTCTCCTCGTTCAGCAACCGCAGGTACTTCCTGAGGTCAGAGACGCAGCAGGGCTTGTAGCCGAACTTCCTGAAGTACTCCATCGCGAGCTCGGCAACGTCGCCCAGCAGCTCTGAGGGTTCTTTGCCGGCCCGCGCCATCTGGTAGAACAGCTCCAAACGAGCTAAATAGGGGCCGCGCATCGAGAAGCCTACGGGAAACGTCAAAAAGTGACACAAGGCGAAAAATCGTTGCCATGGCTACTTACTGTTTTCGTGGCCGTTCTCGATTATGCGGCACACGAACTCGTGCGCCTTCTCGTAGTTGTCGTCGATTGTTTCCGTCGATTGTTCGTTGTTTTCGCCGACGTTGTTTTGTTTTTTCTTGTTCGACTCCTGCGATTTTTCCAGGTGCAAAACCGATTCGATGTAGTCCAACCAAATGTTCCATCTGTCCACGCTAAAAAATGTTTTTAATTAAGTAGGAAAGCATTAAAAAAATTGTGTCAAAATGTTAAAAAAGAGCTGAAATGTAAAAAAAACAAAGAAGTCAATTTGTAAAAAAATGAAAAAATGACAAAAAACTTCAAAAATGATTGGTATGGAAATGTCAAAAATGACAAAAAATATGAGAGCGTAAACAAAATTTCAATTTAAAAAAAATACAAAATGTCAAGGAAGTCAAAATAAAGGAATAGAAGTAACAACAAATTTAAAGTTTTTAAAATGTTAAAATTATTATGGGGTTTAAAAATGCCAAAAATTACAACAAAATTTATACAATTGGCAAAAATTTGTATCAATATGTCAATTTGTAAAAAAAAATTGAAAAACTGTAAAGGAATTTCAAAAATAATTGGTATCAAAATCTCAAAATATTGAAAATGTCAAAAATGACAAAAAATATAAGTCAAATTTTAATTTTTACTTTTAAGTAAAATTTTTAAAATGTTAAAAATGTCAAAAATTACAAAAAGTTTATCAAATTGGCAAACATTTTTTATCGGAATGTCAATTCTTTTTAAGAATATTAATTTGTAAAAAAATTTATTAAAAAATGTCAAAAATTACTATCAAAATGTCAAATGTCAAAATATTGATATTTGATGCTGATTAGTAAAATATTAAAGGGTTTAAAAATGTCAAAAACTACAAAAAATTTATCAAATTGGCAAAATTTTTTATCAGAATATCAATTAGTAAAAAAATTTATTAAAAAATTGTCAAGAAATTTGCAAGATAATTGGTATTTAAATGTCAAAAATTACTATAAAAATGTCAAATGTCAAAATATTGAAAATGACAAAAAATATGAGAGTAAACAAAATTTCCATTTAAAAAAATTAAAAAATATCAAATAGAATGTCATAATTGTCAAATGTCAAAGTCAAGTAAAAATAGAATGTCAAAAAATGAAAAAAACATCAAATGTTAAAAAAATGGCAATTGTAAAAATTGATAACATTAGTACAAGTTTTAAAATGTTAAAAATATTAAAGGGTTTAAAAATGTCAAAAATTACAAAAAATTTATCAAATTGGCAAATATTTGTATTGAAATGTCAATTTTATTAAGAATATTAATTTGTACAAAAATGTACTAAAAAAATGTCAAGAAATTTCAAGAATGATTGGTATCAAAATGTCAAAAATTACTATCAAAATGTCAAATGTCAAAATATTGAAAATGACAAAATTTCCATTTAAAAAAATTAAAAAATGTTAAATAGAATGTCAAAATTGAGTCGTATAGATTCAAAACCCGCCAAATCCATTTATTGAAAGTAAAGGACAGTAGATATGTTTGCAATACATATTAATTATGTTGTTATGGAAACATGTCTTCTGTCCTTTATTTTCAATAAATGGATTTGGCGGGTTTTGAATCTATACGACTCAATTGTCAAATGTCAAAGTCAAGTAAAAATAGAATGTCAAAAAATGTAAAAAAAAAACAAATGTTAAAAAATGGCAATTGTAAAATTAGTAAGATGAGCAAAATTTTTAAAATGAAAAAATAGTAAGGGGTTTAAAAATGTCAAAAATTACAAAAAATTTATCAAATTGGCAAAAATTTGTATAAATGTAATAAAAAAATGTCAAGAAATTTCAAAAATGATTGGTCTCGAAATGTCAAAATTACTATCAAAATGTCAAATGTCAAAATATTGAAAATGACAAAAAATATGAGAATAAACATAATTTCCATTAGAAAAATTAAAAAATGTGGAATGAAATGTCAAAATTGTTAAATGTCAAAGTAAAAATAGAATGTTAAAAACATCAAATGTTAAAAATATTAGGTAAGGAGTTTAAAAATGTCAAAATTTACTAAAAATTTAAAATAAATCAAAACTTAATCAAAACTTACTTTAGCAGCAAAATCTCCTTACAAATCAAGTTGACCTGCTGCCATTGCTTCAACAACTTAAAATACTTCAACTTCATTTGCGGAATATCGCCGCTCGTCAACTTTTTCCCCAGATTACCATCCAACAACTTGATGATTTCGTCGTGTTTCCCCAAATACTCCAAAATCATGACATACAGCTGAACTTCCTGCTCTGCCTCCAATTTATTATCGTATATCAACTTCACCATCATTCTTTCGGCCAAAGAGAGTAAAACAAAAGACTTTTGCGGGTCTTTGAGACCCTCCCCGCGTTTCGCCTGCAGTATTATCGACATGACGGCCCAGCAGTAGTAAGGATTCTTTGGCTTGTGTTTGTACAAAGACATGGCGACATTCTGCTGAGATTTCCAATTTCCTATACGAACGTGAGACATAAATAATTGCGTTTGAATCTCTTCGTTACCCGGATCCAATTTCGCAGCCTTCTCGTACAAACTGCATATTCTGTCCACTAAAAACCATGCTATACAACAAAATACAAAATTAAACGCAAAACCTACGTCGTTTCATTTCCCTGCAACACAAAGTCATGGCTTGTAAAGTCGGTTCATCTGTAGGGTCTTCTAGGGTTAAATCGTCCAACAAAGTTAAAGCTTCTGTATTTCGGCTCATCCTTTGCAGACTTAGGGCTTTTAGAGCCCTCGCACATTGCATTTTGGGCGTTTTTTTCAACACTTTATCACATTCTTGCAGGGCTTTTTTGTTGTTTCCCGAATCTAACCAGTCTACAATTTCAAGTCATAAAAATCAGAATATTTTAATTATATAGGTTTATGCTGATAAAATAATGTAATCAAAGTAAACCAAAACAATGAAATTCAAGTAAGAAACACTTTATTACCATAAATAGCCCTCAAACGTCGTTCAGCCACCGAATTATCAGCCACGTGCGCGTTCTTCGTCATAATGCTCATAATATCGAATCACTCCAACAAAACTAATTGATCTACACAACCGACGTACTAATCAGCGCGCGATTTCCTAATTTTACTGAAACATTTAAAATTGAAAACGCCAAACGCGACATAACCTCGAAGCGCGCCGTCAAATGTCAAAATTTCCGAGGGTGGCGCCATCTAGTGGGCGAACGATGAAGTCTTGAGTTTTATTATTAATCTTTTTAAATGATTAAAATTCATGCTTAATTATTGCAGAAACATCAGACATTTTGTAGATTGTCAAGAAATATGCTGAAAATGATTTAAACATACTGGGTTGCCTACTTTTTGGCGCAACAATGTTCAAAAAACTTATTAAATACAAAAAAATATCTGGGTGGCGCCATCTATCAGAAAAAAGTTGAAGTTTCGCGTTTTGTGAAAGAGCTCTTGATTTTGAACGCAATTTCTTATTAAATAATATTTTTATTAAAAACTTTTTAATGCAGTGGCGTTCACCTTTAAACGGATAAATCACGTATTTAAATCGTGAGTTGCGGTTTACATAACAATGAAATTTAAGAACAGGGGGATTTCCTCTGAGCCGGAATTTGCATACATGAGCAAAAAAAAAGACAAAGACATAAAGAGCAATAAAAAACGGGGTCCGGTTGTTTTATAAACTTGTTTCTCCATTTTTGTAGTCGAGATTTTGTTCGTTTTTTACGCAGATGCTTTCGACGAAATACATTATTAAAGAAATTTTGCGTTGTTCGGTTGGCATTAATTACACGGTATTTGTTTTTGTTTTTATGATTAAATTACGCTAATTGCCATTACCACATTAGTAATAAATGATGTGTTAGATGTAAAATATTAATTTATTGCTGTGCAAAATGTTGAAAGTGGCTATTTTGTGTATTTTTTTAACGTTCAACAAATTTAGTTTTACCATGCACACTTTGTCACATTTATCAATGAGAATTCAAGATCTTTCCAGCCCTTGTCCGGAATATTTTGAATACAAAACTGAGCATGGGAATAACCTGTATGGATTTTTGGTGGTGGAAAGTGTACCGGAAAATAACATGATACAAATCAATATGGAATTGTCTATAGGAAATAGCGTACAAGTATGTAACTTAAAAAACAATTTTTAGGAAAAAAAAAACATAACCATCTTAAATTAAATATTATAATTATTAATAACCTATTACCTGTATTTGTGACGTCCTAATTACTAATAACAAAGGTTGATTTATTAATTATCGGTATTTAAACAGTGTATACTGCAGTATAGAAAATATATTAATTCTCTTAAAATTAACACAAACTTTAGACGTCAGTAGTTTTGTTATTTTTTGTCCAATTTCAAAAAAATTTATATAAAATTTTAGATAATTTCATACACTTTAAGAAAATGTAAACATCTTAATATGCCTCATAACTAATTTTCGAGATTATCCACATAATATAAAGTCGTGTCAAAATTTGATATTTTTGTAGGGTTTTAATGGAAATATCGAACTGTTGTACTCTAGAGAAAAAGTGGTGGACGACATAACCCATCATAGACCCATAGAGTACAAAGTTATTTTTCCATATTGGAAAAATATTCCCCCAAAAGTCACTAAAATATATGTTAACGGGCATTTAGTTTGTCAAGGGCCAAAGATTGAAAGTATGTTTATTTTAAGCATAAAAACGTTTTATTTTATTTTGTTTTTTTAGTAAATACTGTGCCGGTTTTAACCACCATCAATTTGCAGCATACTTTAACAATAAACAGTTTGCCTTTATCCAATGACAATTCCATACCAACTAAAGATAGGTAAATAATGAAAATTGAAAATAAAAATATTACTTTGCAAATATTTAAAGGTTCGATCGACCGTCGACGTCAGAGAGACCTCAAGGTAACAATTTTTTCGAAATTAAAGTACCAAACAATATAAACTTTAACCCGAAACCCCCGGATAACCCGGACTCAATATACCGGGGGAATCCGTTTTTGAATCCGACAAATTTCAATAAAAAACCAATAGGTGAGACACTTTTCAAAATTTATTTTTTTTACTCAAAATTTTTCCGCGAAAATAAACAAAAACACAAACATCTGTCAGTATATATTTATTTTAATTTTGCAATAAAACAAGTTTCAGTTACCACAATTCCAGCGTTGCCTGGATTAAACAAAAACCCGTTTTTGACACCCATATTGAACGACCGAAATAAACCGGAAATTGTCGTCACCACCCAGAAATCCACAGTGCTACCAACGTTAACAACAATAGGTGAGTAAAAAACTAAATATTTCATTAATATACAAGGTGTTTTTTAGAGATAACCAATGACAACAAATTTTCGGAAATTTGCGGTCGACCCGTGGCGACGAATTCTTTAATCGTAGACGGCTTAGACGTTCCTAAAGGCGCTTATCCATGGCTAAGTGCCATTTTCAGGGTACAAAATACCGGACTTACGTATATATGCAGCGGAAGCCTTATTTCCAACAGACACGTTGTCACAGGTTTGTAAAGTAGAGTCGGCAAGTTGTTTTGACAACTAATTACATAACCTCAACAAATTTTATGTTTCAGCTGCACATTGCATGCAAAAAGACTCCCGCAACGTCAAACCGCAAGACCTGTTGATAATTCTCGGAAAATTGAACATAGCCAAGTGGAAACCTCTACCTGGAGAAAAAATGATCGAACCTGAAAGTTTACACGTTCACCCGAATTACGCGTCATCAAATAGTGACGCAGACATCGCCGTCATCACTTTGAGCGAAATTTTGACATTTTCCGCACTAATTATGCCTGTTTGTCTGTGGCGGGGACCCGACAACCTAAACCTAGGTAATTGCGATATTTTTGTTGGTAGAGTTGTAATTATTTTTTTTTTTAAGTTGTCGGAAGTGATGGGGTGGTAGCTGGCTGGGGAAAAAACGAGGAGGGTTTAATTTCCACCGCGGAACCGAAACAAACTTTTTTACCAATCGTCGACCAAGAAACTTGTTTGAGATCCTCGCACCAATTTCAATACATAACCTCTAACAGAACGTTTTGTGCAGGTAAATTTTAAAACACCCGGTATATTATGCGCTAAATGTGTGGAGAATTAAATTTCCTTTTCTACGATACCCAACTCGGTAGGTTTTGGTTGAGAAATAAGGCGTCTATGAAGAAAAAACCCTTTCCAAGGATGACTAGATCGATTTTGATTTTTTACGATAACTCTGTTATTTTTGGAGATAATTTCACGTTTAATATGTCATTTTAAAGGGATTTTAAATGTCTATGTAAACATAGATATGTTTTCAATAAATGTCCACATAATTTTAAAACACCCTGTATATTTTGTGCTGATTGTGTGGAGAATTAAATTTCCTTTTTTCCGATACCCAACTCGGTATGTTTTAATTAAGAAATAAGGCAGCTATGAAGAAAAAACACTTTCCAAGGATGACTAGATTGATTTTGTTTTTTACGATAACTGTTATTTTTGGAGATAATTTCACGTTTAATATGTCATTTTAAAGGATTTTAAATGTCTACGTAAACATAGAGATGTTTTCAATAAATGTGCACATAATTTTAAAACACCCGTTATATTTTGCGCTGATTGTGTAGAAAATAAAATTTCCTTTTTTCCGATACCCAACTCGGTATGTTTTGGTTGAGAAATAAGGCAGCTATGAAGAAAAAACACTTTCCAAGGATGACTAGATCGATTTTGTTTTTTAAGATAACTCCGTTATTTTTGGAGATAATTTGACGTTTAATGTGTCATTTTGAAGGTATTTTAATTGTCTATATTTTTAGGCAGTCAAAACGGGAAAGGTCCATGTAACGGCGATTCGGGAAGCGGCTTGATAATCAAGAGGGATCAAGTCTGGATGTTGCGGGGGATCGTTTCGATGTCGATATCGGACACGCATTCGAGAACTTGCGATTTGAATCATTACGTTGTTTTTACGGACGCGAGCAAATTTCACTCGTGGTTGTATTCTTTTATTATACCGTCCGTGTGATGTAAACAACGTAGCTTTTTTATTGCTAAAACTGTGTTATTATTTTTAGTTGGATATTATTTAATAAATTTTATATGTATTTTTGATATTCTGGTTGTTTTATTTACATACCTAAACCGAGACTTCCTGTTTATGCAATAATTAGGTAATTAAATACCTATTCAATAATTAACATTTTTTATGACTATTATAGTTTAATGCATGCAAGGGTTAACACATTATTTTCCGTACACCCTGTATGTATTCTTCTCCAGACACAAATAAACAATTGAAATGCAATTAACAATAGCTAAAAACCGGATTAAATTTAAGTAATTGTAAGTACATCTTTCTATTGGGTTTTTCCGAAATTTTTGGGTGGGGATACAATATTCTTGGTATTTAAAGAATACAATATTCTTAGTATTTAAAGAATAATAATAAAGCGAAAAGTGTGTAACTCGATGTAAAACTTAACGTAAACAAAATAAAACTAGTTTAGTAAAATAGTTGTTTGCATTTCTCGAGATGTCTCAGTGGAGAGTAAAGTGAATTCAGTTTTGTGACTTCATAAATACACAAACAACAGTTACATTCAACGTGCTAATGATCAAAGTTTAGAATGTCGTATATAAGCATTTTTCTGCTTATATCTTTTTGTGTGACAGTTTTAACTCAACAGAACATACCGGAAAATCCATGTCCCTTATTATTTCAATACGTAACACATTCGAACAACATTATTTCTGGAAAAATTAACGTGCCATACGATGGAAAGACTAACAAGTTGTCGCTTAGCGTTAACGCTTCTATTATTGGAGTTTACAATCGCGCGGTAATTATTATTTAATTCGTTTTAATTTAATGTATACCTACACAAATAATTTTTTTTATAGAAATTAGATATACGATTACTGACATCCAAAGACCTCATCTTGGGAAGTGACCGTCTGGATTATGAAGTGTATTTTCCGTTTCAAAACAATTTACCGAAAATCACCCGTATTGTGTTTAACGGCAACGAATTTTGTTCCGGGCCGCCTTTTCCACGTAATTTTTTTTAAATTTTATTTGTTATTTTGTTTCTGCAATATTTTGAATTTTAGTTCTACCTGGCAGAGGCGTAACAAGCGTGTGGGCGTTTTCTGACTACACTATCAAGAAGTACACGACAAATTTCCAGATAAATAGTAACGATAACAATAACAATAACGAAGCTCCCATAGTTATTAGTATAGGAAATGTTATACCCATAGAAACGCCCACTGTGATAGCAAATAACCCATTTTTTACCAACAGAGTGCCACCAACTGCAAGACCTATTACTACTACTATTACTACTACTATTACTACTACTACTCCGACTTCTATTACTACTACTACTACTGAGTAAGAAAATTAAAAATTTATTTAAAAATTTTTAAATCTTTTTTTAAGCATTGTAGATATAGGCCCGTAACTTTTTTGCTAGTTTACATAGAACAATTCTGTCAAATGCATTGTAAAAAGGATATTTCTCTTATTAAATTGTACAAATTCTACTAAAATTGGATAAAAATTGTGAAAACCACAAGAAAATTAAAAAATGTTTACAAATTTTCAAATTCCTTTTTAAGCATTGTAGATATAGGCCCATAACTTTTGTGCTAGTGTACATAGAAAAATTCTGTCAAATGCATTGTAAAAAGGCAAATTTTCTTATTAAATTGTACAAATTCTACAGAAATTGGATAAAAATTGTGAAAACTACAAGAAAATTAAAATTTATTAACAAATTTTAAAATTTAAATTTAAATTTAAATTCTTTTTCAAGCATTGTAGATATAGGCCCATAACTTTTTTGCCAGTGTACATAGAAAAATTCTGTCAAATGCATTGTAAAAGCCTATTTTTCTTATTAAATTGTACAAATTCTACCGAAATTGGATAAAAATTGTTAAAACTACAAGAAACTTAAAAATTGTTTACAGATATTCAAATTTTTTTAAGCATTGTAGATATAGGCCCATAACTTTTTGCTAGTGTACATAGACAAATTCTGTCAAATGCATTGTACAAAGTCTAATTTTCTTATTAAATTGTACAAATATTACTGAAATTGGATAAAAATTGTAAAAACTACAAGAAAATTAAAAATTTATTAACAAATTTTCAAATTCTTTTTTAAGCATTGTATATATAGGCCCATAACTTTTTTGCTAGTGAACATAGAAAAATTCTGTCAAATGCGTTGTAAAAAGCCCATTTTTCTTTTTAAATTGTACAAATTTTACTGAAATTGGATAAACATTGTTAAAAGTACAAGAAAATTAAAAATTGTTTACAAATTTTCAAATTCTTTGCTAAGCATTGTTGATATAGGCCCATAACTTTTTTGCTAGTGTACCTACATAATAAAAAACTGTAAAATGCATTGTAAAAAGCATACTTTTCTTATTAAATTCTAGAAATTTTACTAAAATTGTTTAAAAATTGAAAATTAAAAAAATGACTTCACAATTTTTTTTACAGCACTAAATGTGGGGTGGAAAACTCCTCAACCAATTTGATAGTAAACGGGGAAAAAACAACTGAAAATCAATTTCCATGGGTGGTCGCGATGATGGTTACATCGAGTAAATCAGGGTATCAGTACAAATGCACGGCCAATTTGATCTCCGATAGGCATGTAGTGACAGGTAAGCATTTGTTGCTTAAAATATTTTTATATTTATTTATAATTTGTTTGTTTCTTATAGCTGCGCAATGCGTGCAGTTTTTCAGCGTACGAGTAGTGAATACGGAAGATATTTTGTTAATTTTGGGCAAATCCGATTTGACCCATTGGGCTACCAGTGACGCTGAAAGAAGAACGGCCAAAAAGGTTACAGTCCATCCGGATTACAGGCAATACTCGGGACATGGCGATTTATGCGTCATAGAGTTTTCACCACCTGTTAACTTCAAAAAAACCATAAGACCCATTTGTTTGTGGAACAAATCTGAACCGTTGGAACCATCGGTCCATTCCCATGGTAAAATTTGCGGATGGGGTCAAAGTTTATCGCATGGTAACTATACTTAGTAATAATATTACAAAAACATATATTTTATACGATTTTTTAGGTGACCAATCCATATCCTCCTATCATGCCATTGATATTCCAATTGTTTCTCAAGAAGAATGCCTCAGATCTACACCTGCCTTTCAAAATTTAACATCACAAAAGACTTTTTGTGCCGGTAAGTGCTAATAAAAAATTAAATTTCTATAAAATGTCCATACAACACCCGGTATATTTTTCGTTAATTGTGTGCAGAATTAAATTACCTTTCGTCCGATACCCAACTCGGCATGTTTTGGTTTAGAAATAAGCCGGCTATGAAGAAAAAACACTTTTTTCCAAGGATAACTAGATTAATTTTGTTCTTTACGATAACTCTGTTATTTTTTGAGATAATTTGATGTTTTATATGTCATTTTAAAGGGATTTTAAAGGTCTATGTAAACATATAGATGTTTTTAATAAATGTCCACATAATTTTAAAACACCCTGTATATTTTGTGCTGATTGTGTGGAGAATTAAATTTCCTTTTTTCCAATACCCTACTCGGTATGTTTTAATTGAGAAATAAGGCAGCTATGAAGAAAAAACACTTTCCAAGGATGACTAGATCGATTTTGTTTTTTACGATAACTCTGTTATTTTTGGAGATAATTTGTCGTTTAATATGTCATTTTAAAGGGATTTTAAATGTCTACGTAAACATACAGCTGCTATTAATAAATATCCACATAATTTTAAAACACCCGGTATATTATGCGCTGAATGTGTGGATAATTAAATTTCCTTTTTTCCGATACCCAACTCGGTATGTTTTGGTTGAGAAATAAGGCAGCTATGAAGAAAAAACACTGGACACAAGGATGACTAGATCGATTTTGTTTTTTACGATAACTCTGTTATTTTTGGAGATAATTTAACGTTTAATATGTCATTTTAAAGGGATTTTAAATGTCTATGTAAATATGTAAACATTTTTTCCAAGGATGACTAGATTAGTTTTGTTTTTTACGATCCGTTATTTTTGAAGATAATTTGACGTTTTATATATCATTTTAAAGGGAATTTCAAACATCGCATTTAATTTCCAGGAAACCGGATCGGCTCCGGGCCCTGCATCGGCGACAGCGGTGCCGGATTCATGCTGAAAAGTCGGGACGATAAATGGCAACTGCGCGGATTGGTGTCGATAGCGCTCAAAAAAAATAACGCCTGCAAACTGGACGACTACATCGTTTTCTGCGACGTTGCCAAATACCTCGGATGGATTAAAAATGTCATGACGGAAAAATAAAATTTTATCAAACCAAATTATTTGTAGTTTTTAATTTACCAATTAAACATTAAAGTTATATAACTTTAAAACACCCGGTATATTTTGCGTTAATTGTGTGCAGAATTAAATTACCTTTTGTCCGATACCCAACTCGCTATGTTTTGGTTTAGAAATAAGTCAGCTATGAAGAAAAAACACTTTTTTCAAGAATGACTTGACTGACTTTGTTTTTGACGATAACTCCCTTATTTTTGGAGATAATTTGATGTTTTATATGTCATTTTAAAGGGTATTTGTAACATCGTTTAAATCTTGCATAAGGCACACATATTTAATTATCAAGTAATTAATACAAATGTATTTCTTTGGTCTACAGCTATTAGTAATGAGGACCGTTCCTAGAATCCTTCATTATTTTTTATAATTGTACAATAATAATAAGTCAAGCAATTATTTAAGGTAATAAATTTTATTTTGTAGATTTACATAATATACTATACGGCACCGCTTACTTGATTCTTAACCTACATTCGATTACGCAGAATAGATCCCAGGGTAAAAATATAATTTAAATAAATTATACAAAATTAACTTAAACTTTAACACTCTGTATTTCATATATTATATGAAATACAGAGTGTTAAAGTTTAAGTTAATTTTGTATAATTTATTTAAATTATATTTTTACCCTGGGATCTATTCTGCGTAATCGAATGTAGGTTAAGAATCAAGTAAGCGGTGCCGAGACCAGAAACTGGCCGCCTCAAGACAGTCGAAGAACGATTCTT